TATATATATATATATATATACATATATACACACATATATATATACACACACACACAAACACCTGTGCATTTTGTTTTCTACTGATAAAAATGCCTTTAAATACATTCATTGACAATGTAATAAGACAACAAACTAGTGCAACCAAAATCCACCAATATCCCATCTTTATTATTATTATTTTTTGTCAGCACCAGAAATTATGAAAGAAAAGAAACTACAAGCTAGCATCAACCCTAATAAAATTGCTTGTGCAACTAAATCCTCCAAAATTCCATATTTATTATTATTATTTGTCAGCACCAAAAATGTAAAAAAAAAATTAAAAAAATAAAAAACACCTTGCACCAACCTTGCAAAAAAAAAAAAAGTGAAATATTCAGCTTTTCCTTACAAGAATTAAAGGTTTGTCCTATTGTAGATCACAGGAGCAGCACACATCACCTCATCATTATGTGTTTGGAGCTTGTAAGTATGAACCTCTAAGGAGAAATGTGCAATGTGAAGCATTAATAATTAAACTGTTATTCAGCGTTAACAGTGATTTTACACAGCAACAGACATGGCTCATACCATTAAAAGCCAGAACTATGTCTATTATAATGCATATGTGATGAGATCTGGGGGAAAGCCGCACTGGGATGTCTTCAGGAACCGCTGGGATGTTTTTTACAAAATTGGGTTTTCGTGAAATAATTATTTTGTAAGCTCTTATTATCTTTGAAAAACACAACTTTGTCTCTCTATAGTAAAAAAAAAGAATAGAAAACTCATAGCTTTCTTAAAGAGGACCCAATTACAGGGTTCATACACATTTTCACTACAAAAATTCCATGAGGGGGTGACGCGGTGGCGCAGTAGGTAGGGTTGTCGCCTCACAGCAAGAAGTTCCCTGGTTTGAGCCTCGGCCGGGTCAGTTGGTATTTTTGTGTGGAGTTTGCATGTTCTCCCTGTGTTCGCGTGGGTTTCCTCCGGGTGCACCGGTTGAATGGGGACTGAATGGGGCAACTGAATGGGGAGACTCATGCAATAGTAATAATAAACATTTACAAAGCACTTTAATACATTCGAAAATCACGATCGCAATATATATATATATATAAGTCCATGCCTAATTTTCGATGGCCATAATAATAATACAATCCATTAAAATATTATAAATACTATGGTATAAAGAGTGTAATATACTTTATTTCAGAACCATAGTAAAATTTATTACACTATATATACTATAGTATTTATAATGCTTTAATGAACTATGTATATTATTACCTGTAGTAATGTTTTAAACTGTAATAAACAATGTAGTATATTTTATTTTCTTCAGAACCATAGTAAAATGTACTACACTATTTGTTACAGTTTAAAAGTTTACTACAAGTAATAATATAGTTCATTAAAGTATTATAAATACTATAGTATATACTGTATAGTGTAATACATTTTACTATGGTTCTGAAGAAAATAAAGTATCCGCTTGTAAAGTGTGACATCACGGGAAGCGGCTTCCGAGTCCAAGCTCTATTCAACTGAATGGGGAGACTTATGAAATGGTAATAATAAACGTTTACAAAGCACTTCAATACATTCAAAAATCACGATCGCAATATACATGTCCATGCCTAATATCCGATGGCCAGACAGTGATTCCTTTTTTTATAAATTGTTAAAACTTTGATATTTGTGATGCAGTAAGCCCAGAGATTGTTGTGTACACCATAACTTTATATAAAATTCCCTTTAATGAGTGATATGAATAAAAAGTGATCATAAACAAACATTTTCTCAACTCAAATGAGTGGCGGCTTGGACCCGGAAACAGTATTACAGACGTCACCAACACGTCACCACTTAACAAGCGGATACTACAGTATTTATTACAGTTTAAATGTTCACCACAGTTAATAATATCATCCATTACAGTGCTATAAATACTATAGTATATAGAGTGTAATACATTTTACTATGGTTCTAAAGTAAAAGTGTACAACAGTAGGTTACAGTTTTAAGTTTACAACAGTTAATAATACAATCCATTAAAATATTATAAATACTATGGTATAAAGAGTGTAATATACTTTTACTTCAGAACCATAGTAAAATGTATTACACTATATATACTATAGTATTTATAACCCTTAATGGACTTAGTATGTTATTAACTGTAGTAAACTTTTAAACTGTAATAAACACCGTAGTATATTTTATTTACTTCAGAACCATGGTAAAATTTATTACATTCTACATACTATAATATTTAAAACACTTTAATGGACTATATTATATATATATATATATATAGTGTAATACATTTTACTGTGGTTCTGAAGAAAATAAAATATCCGCTTGTTAAGTGTGTGACGTCACGGGAAGCGGCTTCCGGGTATAAGCGCTCTATTCAACTGAATATGGAGACTCATGCAATAGTAATAATAAACGTTTACAAAGCACTTTAATACGTTCGAAAATCACGATATATATATATATATATATGTCCATGCCTAATATCCGATGGCCAGACAGTGATTACTTTTTTATAAATTGTTAAAACTTTGATATTTGTGATGCTGCAAGCCCAGAGATTGTCGTTTACACCATAACTTTATATAAAACTCCCTTTAATGAGTGATATGCATAAAAAGTGATCATAAACAAACATTTTCTCAACTCAAATGAGTGGCGGCTTGGACCCGGAAACAGTATTACATACGTCACCAACACGTCACCACTTAACAAGCGGATACTACAGTATTTATTACAGTTTAAATGTTCACCACAGTTAATACTGTAGCTGTATAGCTTCCATTAAGGTATTGTAAATACTGTAATATATGCAGTATAATGCATTTTACTATAGTATGGTTCTGAAATAACTAAAGCATACTACATTTTTCATTACAGCTTAATTGTGAATGCTATAACATTTACAGTATAATACATTTTACTATAGTATGGTTCTAAAACACTATAGTATTTTCTTTAAATGACAATGTTATTTTTTCATGCGCGTAAGCCTTGTGTTTTTGTGTGTGTGTGTCCCCTGTGTCTTTATTCTATTGAGTTTGAGGTTGACCGACATGTTTACACTCTCTGTGCGTGCGTGTGATGGTCTGACCTGCAGGACCTCCTCTGTGTCTTTATTTTTGCCCGTGGAGCTCTTGACGGATGCGGCGGCCGCAGCTTTGGCCTGTTTTCTCTTGGCTCTCTCTGCTTGGGCGTTGGTGAAGTAGTTGACCGCCGCAAACTCAATGAGCGCGGAGAAGACAAACGCGAAACACACGGCTATAAACCAGTCCATGGCGGTGGCATAGGAGACCTTGGGCAGAGAATGGCGAGCGCTGATGCTGAGGGTGGTCATCGTGAGGACGGTGGTGATTCCTGGATGAACAACACACAGAAGAGCACTTTAAGTAATGTGATGCCTGCTGCTGTAGGTCATCAGTAGAGCCAGACAGAATCTGCAGACATTTTTTGCAATTTCTATGGAGAATTTTGTAAAAAATCTGCGGAATTATTTTGGGAGTATTGCAATTAAAAACGTAATATATCAAATAAAATAAAATAAAATAATCCCTTTTTTAATGTTTACAATGCAAATCTGTCTAGGGGTTCGTTCTTCGTACACGGATTACTCAGTTAGCTGGATTTGGATATTGACGATTTGACACGATCTGAAAGTTGTTGTCATAGCAACTGTTCTGCTAGGTCAAACCTGATCGGGAGCAGGTTTAATTCATATGAACAGAATTAAATCGGCTCAGTTCAAGCAAAGATAATAGAGAAAGTATGTTCCGAATTCTGATATTTTCTTACAGTAGTAGTTATATACACTTGGGAAAATGGTAAATATTTTTTAACTAATATATATATACATATATATATATATATATATATATACATTACTATGAAATTAATTTCATAATTATTAACAGTAATTTTTAAAATACAGATCAGAGCAAGCTACTTCTGACTATTAAAAGGCTGACCCTCCATACATCTTGTATTGACGTCCTTCAGTGGGGATCGAGCGTTAATTAGGAGGGTCAATCCCCCCAAACTTGCACCCTGCCTGTAAACCACATATACCTGTGCACACAAAGTTAAAGGTCAGATCCAAAACAAGATGTTTTTAGAGCAGTAACGCGTTAAACCAGCAGGGGGAGTCATGAATTCACTCTTAACCTGCATGTCTTGAGTTGGAAGCGTTTCTCTGTCGGTGAAAGTAAAGCCTGCCAGACGTGAGTCACACACACACACACACACACACAAACACACACACATACACAATCATGGAGGCAGCCAGTATCCCTTCTCCTCCCACACACACATACACACACAAATAGTGTCTCTCGACTCACACATACACCCCCACACACACGCTAATAAAACAGCAGAAAACACACAGAACCCCACACACAACACAAACACGCTCTCCTACATGTTTTCTGGAGTTTGCAGACGTTAGAAATAAACACGGACATGAAAAGAGCTTTCACACTAATCATTTGTTGTTTGCTGGTTGGCGTTGAACAACAGCTGCTTTCTGAAGCACTTCAGTTCAGTTGAATAAAACCTGTCAGGAACGCGTCTGCGTCATAATTCCAATCAAAATCAAAAGGAATATGTATTAGCCCTATATTCGCCACGATTAGGCCGTCAGTTCTCATTATTACCGTGGAGAAATCTCATTCTGTTTAATCCGTGGTGAAATTGTACTTGATGGTTTTATTTGTTCTCCAGACTGCTTTTTTTTATTTATTTATTTATTTATTTATTTATTTATTTATTTATGTATTTATGTATTTATTTATTTATTTATTTATTTTAAATTAAAACAAAATATTATGTAATTTTTCATATTAGCACAGTAAAATATTGTAAAAACATGGTACTATATTGGTAATGGAATTCAAAATTATCTATACAAAACCACAATGAATGATTATTAAAATACAATAAGAATTGATTTATTTAATAAAATATATTTATAGAAATATTATTCATTCATTAATTTTCCTTCGGCTTAGTCTCTTATTTATCAGGGGTCGCCACAGCAGACTGAACAGCAAACTATTCTGGCATATGTTTTACGTCATGTTTTCCAGCCGCAATCCAGTACTGGGAAATATAAAAATATTAATCGACTAAAGTTTATACATATTTGAAAATACAAATTAAAACGTTAATGTAAATGTTAAATATAGTATAGATTTATGAAGTGTTTAACTGGCAAAAAAAAAAAAAATCTTGACAAATAAACTGGACCTAAATGGTCTAAATAAAGTTACATTCTCTTAATATTTTAATTTTTAATTGAATATTTTAAATAATATAATGGATGCATTTATTCATTAAATTATCCCTGTATATATATATTCCGTTATACGTCCGTTGCCCCTCCTATGCAATCTTAAAAACAGTCATATAGCAGTGCGTGACTGTCAGCTGACACGCTCCATAGTGATAAATACACTGTGTTTCCCAAACGGATTCTGTACACACAATTTGGAGCGAAAGTCTGGTTTTTGAATGCATGTTTGAACGGTTTGAACAGACATATACACAACAAATAATAATAATAATAATAATAATAATAACTAAAGATGTCGATTTTGGTGGGTTTTCTTCTAAACGAAACTAATTTTGTCTTAAATGAGCATAAAAATTTAAGAAAGCAAGGAAGGCTTACAATATAATGTTAGATGTGTGCATTTTTAAAGAGACACCTCTGTTATTTAATGTAATCAAATGGAATATCTAAATGAGAGATTCATTAATTGCTCTTTAATCAGAATGTTCAAGTTATACAGTGAAGAAAAGATTAACATGATTTGATACCTTGATTCTAAATCTTTATTATAGCTATTCATTTTAATTGTTAAAACTGTTTGCTAATTTATTTGCAGCTTTTTTTTATTGTAAACTATTTATTCTATCCTTTGTAAATAATAATAAAACGTATAACTGACTGTTTAACTATTTATTTACAATGAAACAGCTACAGATGAACATATTTAGTTAATTTAATTTAATATTTAGTATGGGGGGACTGCTACGAGTATGATATTGCATTTATAGAATTGCGTCTATACAGTTCGATGGCATAATCGTGTATATAAAAAAGAAAATCAAAAACAGAGAGTCTAAAAATCCGGAGTAATACACAAGGGTGAAGAGACTGATGAGTGCTGTTATTATGGGAATATCCAACGCAATCTCACGGCAATTCGTAAATTTAGTAGCTAAATCGTATGAATTCGTACGATCTAAATCGTACAATTTAGTACGATTTGCTCATCACCCAATGACGATTGGGGTTAGGGGTGGGGTTGGGTGCTATTTCTAAATGCTAAATAACAAAGATAATCAATTTACCAATCAATCAATTAATCAATTCTTTCGTTTTCTTGATAAATGCACTGAATTTACAATAGTAAAGTCTCAGAAAGCACCTCTATTTCATACTACCTCTTTCCATACTGTAAAACACTCACAGGTTTTGTTTTGAGCATGATAATTTCTGCCAGTAACAGAAGCATGAATAAAACAGCGAATCTGACATCTTCCCCTGAGTTACCAAGCTACGGCTGGTAAACAGGTGCTGCCAGTGCTCACGACGGCACGCGGATCTGCGGGGGCAAAACCGAATCGAACCCTGGTGTGGAAACTGCTGGCAGCTCTGGAGAATAATCCACAGTCTCTGGAAAACTTCAGAGCATGGCAGCGCACTCGCAAACGCCCACGAGCAGAGCGATCTGGAGCGATCAATAGGTACATCACAGGCTACATTTAGCCAGGGGTGCTGGATGCGTTTCGCTACTGTTCCACTGCTCAATCCACAGCGCTGAGAACGAGAGCTTTTTTTTTAAGCTCATGTGAGGATGGTTGAGGAAGAATGATGGAGCTCTGTCGTAGAATTGAGCAAACACGTGTCTTGAAAAAACAAAACAAAAAAGGGTTACACTGCGAGTCTAGATCTGAAAAAAGTGGTCTCGCTATATGGTAAAGGGGACATATTATGCCCCTTTTTACAAAAGTCTCTGATAAAAATACAGCACAAATAATGTTTTATAACTCTTTGAGACTGCCACTTTGATTATAGTTGTGCCATTTTGGTGACTGTCGCTTTAAATTCAAATGAGATTCTGCTCTTTTCAAAAGAAGGCGGAGCTATAAATGTCTGTCAGCATAGTGGCAGATTCAAAAACAAGACTAACCTCATTTGCCAAGGAGGGAGAGATCGTCACTAGTGGGCGGGGCTTTCCCCCTCTGATGACACGTACAAAGGGAGAATGTCAATCAAAGTGTTTCTGCAGACTGTTTTTGTCAAGTGTGATTATAAAAATACAATTAATAAATGCTGATCATTAGAAGCTGGTTATATTCACAGACTGTTACCACATAACTGTGTTTAAACCCCTTATAAAAGTAATTTTTGCATATTAGGTCCTTTTTAAGTGGCCTTAATTACTATGTACATATAATTAAATCAGTAATCTATCTAATCTAGGTTCTTTGTCCAAGCAAAAGCAAAAACACAGGCTCATTGAAAATACTTTCTTGAGACTACAGCTGCGTCCCAAATGACACTATGCACTCATGCACTTATGTACACATGTACTTATGCACTTACGCACTCAACAGCGTAGTATATGTATGTAGTGTCGTCCCAAATGGCACACTAATGTTTTTTTACTAAGCGGATATTCAAAGCGTTTCCCTGATGACGTTTGTCGGTCGCCAAATCATTGAAATAAACAACCGAATTATCAAACAATACCTGCCGTGAGTATTACCGCATTCACCATCGGGAGGCGCTATAATCACTTTCGTAGGAGAATTTTGCTTTCACCATCCAAAACAAATAAAGTAATCCAACATGTGTGCCCGATAGCTCCGCCCCTTCCGCTACGTAAGCAAACCTGTGGTCGTTGAGTGCGTGAAGTGTCCATCATTACACACTTCATTTTAGCAGATGAATGAGTGCATCATCCGGGTAATTAAAGTGCACTTATTACTTTTAGAGTTTTCAGTGTGAACACACTACTTACCCTATTTATACTACAAAATGGCGTAGAATAGTGCATAAGTATACGATTTGGGACGCAGCTTACATTGTTCTAAACATGCAAAAACATACATTTGACTGCAGATTATGGGTCAAATGAACAGTATGGCACCAACAACGTTTGTTCCGTTTCACATTAACCTCTTAAAGTCAAGTGCTAGTTTGGGCTTTCCGCCTGGATTTTCCCTGCCCAAATTTAAAAGCTCCCCAAATCCGAATGCAGACCTGGTAATGCAACAGTTTGGTATCATTCTGAAGAAAACCCATTGAATTTTCTTAAAACACTGTTGAAAGTGATTAACAGTGTTGG